AAAGAACGCGTTACAGTCTTTGATCAGACTTCGCGTTCCCGCCGCCCATCTCTCTCTCTCTCTGACACGTTTTTTTCTTCCTCGTCTCTTCCTTGTTCATCGCCGAACCTCTGTAATAACAAAAACATCACAACCTTTCTCACAAATAAAAAAAAACCATTCTTTACTCTCTCTTCTTTCCAAATCAACTTTCTTTTCTCTCTTCGTTTTCAATCTGACAATGGCGTTATCGAAAAACAATAACAGTAACAAGAAGAAAGTAGTTTCTTACATCTCAGTACCATCTCAGATTATAAACTCTTTATCTTCTTCTTCTCTACAATCACTTCTTGTTTCACCTAAGAAATCTTCCAGATTCACCAATAGATTCAACTTTTCTTATAGAAACCCTAGAATCTGGTTCTTTACTCTGTTTCTCTTCTCACTCTTTGGTATGTTAAAACTCGGATTCATCGTTGACCCAATCTCTCTCCCTTCTTTCTCTCGTTACCCTTGTCCCACCAATCAATTAAGCTTCGATGATGTAGTAGCCGAATCAAATATGGGTTTTGCATCTGAATCAAATTCGTCTTCTGGGTATTCGAATCGGAGTGGAAAAAACGAGGCTTTGTACATGGAAGGTGGTTTCTGGAAACAGCCTGATGGGTTAGGGTTTAAGCCGTGTTTGGGATTTAGTGGTCAGTATAGAAGAGAAAGCAATTCGCTTTTGAAGAATCGATGGAAGTATCTTCTTGTTGTTGTCTCTGGTGGGATGAATCAGCAAAGGAATCAGATTGTTGATGCAGTTGTGATCGCTAGGATTCTTGGTGCTTCTTTAGTTGTTCCTGTTTTACAGGTTAATGTCATTTGGGGAGACGAAAGGTACAAACTTTAAAACTCAGATTTTTTTTTTATTTTGATAGAAGAAGAAAGATTTTGACATTGTTTTGATGATCTCTAATTGTTTTGCAATGTAGTGAATTTGCGGATATATTCGATTTGGAGCATTTCAAGAGTGTTTTGGAGGATGATGTTCATATTGTTTCGTCTTTGCCTTCGACTCATGTAATGACGAGACCTGTTGAAGAGAAGAGGACTCCTCTTCATGCTTCTCCTCAATGGATTCGTGCTCATTATCTCAAGCGAGTAAGATTTTATTTGATTACATTCAGCTACCATTGAGA